AGGTAGGTGGTAATGTTTGAGTTTCACCTTAAGCTACGTAGTGCATGTCATATTAACCGAAACCCATTTAAGATAAATGCATTCAAGGATCTAAAGGACTACGGTATGATTTGAAAACAGTTCATGTTATTAAGTAGCACAAAGGTTAAAAACCAGCACAAACACGCACCAGCGTTTCAGACGACCCGTCGGATTTGTGTGTTAATGCGTGTGTTCCCATTTAGAGACTGTTACCGAGTGCAGCTCAATTGAATGGAAATTAAAAGTACAAAAGGGAAAAGGCAGCAGAGATAAGGTGAACACAAAGAGAAACTTTGTAAAGTTTGACTCTGCGGAGTTGTGGAAGCTGAGTCACTCCTGCGACGGAGAGACAAATCAGCGTGTTCTCGGCTGCCGACTGACAACATGTTATTAAAATCAAATCAAATGCACACAACCAAAAAAAGCTCCCCGTCTGAATGAACCGCCCCACCAATTCCCTCCCTCGCTCTATACAGCTGTGTGAAAAGCAATTACCGAGCCTTTTCTTTTCCTCTATTGGCGCTGAGGCTCAGGGAACAGATTGTAATGTGCGTAGGGGACTAATTTTAAGAGCAGGTCAGCAGAGAAAATTGAGGTTGGATAAACCTATTCGGCAGGTGATTGATTTTGATTTTGACCTTCTGTGCACACTGTAGTTGTGCTAACACAGTTCTCTTCTCCAGTAATGGACTAAACCACTTTACCTGCAGCTAAAACTGTCTAATTATTTGACTGCCGTTGACCGTGTTCCTTTGCTGAGAGTAATTGTATCATAACTGATACAAATTATGACACAAAAGTATGAACGAACTTGTCATAACACATCCTCAAACTCCCACAACGACATCTATGACGGTGGAGCGTAGGTTTTACATCCAAATATTCAAAGTAGGAGTCGGGCGCCACACAGGAGAACAACCACACTTCTACCTTGGAGCGATAGCCGGCTACCCCCGCTACAAAATGCACAAACCCAAACCATTAATCCACTTGTACCTCAAACACAGTCTAAACACAGTCTTCTATTTGATGTTGTGAAACGCAACTATCTGGTTATGTTTAGGAAAAGGTCGTGGTTTGGGTTAAAATAACTGTTTGTTACGTAATTATTCATAACTTAAAGTCTTGGTTTCACACGAGCAGCGACGTCCATCCACCTCGACCTCCATCCACCTCGACCTCCTCGTCTCAGACTGTGTCGCTCTTTGTACCACGTCACCTGACTTCGGCCTTTGCAGCTCATAGTTACTTGGGGCGAGAGGTCGCCACTTCACAATAATACAGTTATTGTCACATGGTGATGCTGTTGGACACACTTTAGATCTGTGTCTAAGCATCAGCATCACATGTTGTATCGTCAAAACATTGAAGAGAGGAAAATGCGAATTTGAGGTAATTTGCATTTAAGAATGTATTTGTTCATCTACAATCTCCAGAGTGTCCGAATTCCCACCAGCACTTAAACACATCAACACGGCAGAGTAGTTATCTAAGGCTTCTGCTCACAGCTGTATTTCTACGTGACAGCATCAGCTCGGCTCTGTGGGGACCAATTAAACTGTGTGACTGGGTGTTGTGCAGACCTCGTTGTCCCGGTCCTTCTCCAGGAAGTGACGGGCCACGTGGCTGGGCAGGATGTTCCTCAGCATGTTCTCGTTGTGTTCTCGCAGCTCCTTCATCTCGTTGATCTCCTCTTTGGCCTGGACGCGCCACAGGAAGTCCAGCCGTGCCGTGTACTCCAGCTACAGGAGGAGGAAACACACACACAAGAAGAGGATGTAAAGTGTTTGGGCCATGATAGATCGTCACCTTGATGTTACTTCTTAAGCCTCTAAAGACCTGAACATCTACACTCCAGACACTTCATCAGAGAGATCAGAGGAAACTCATGTTGTTTGTATCATTCACATGATGCAGACGCTGAGCCGCGGTCCTAAAGTTCAATCAAACAAAAATGTAACAAAATCCGTTAACGGTTGGATCAATTATGAAACACGAGAGAGTGCGATCAATCTGCAGCAACAGGATTCTAATATGCAACACAAATTGCTTTTCTGAATGCACAATTAATACAAAGTAATTTGAATACATTAGAGCCAAACAAACGTCGGTAGCGTTTAGTTTGCACTTGCAGGAGAGAGAGAGAGAGAGAACCCTGATATTGAAAATTAATTTCGGGGGCAGACAGATAAGCCGGTGAGGATTTAAGCGTCTCTCTCTGGCGATTGGCGGAAACTGTTTTGTGATTAATCTTGGTATCAATTAGTCCCTTAAATCATATGAGCGAGGAGCAAACTTCAACCTCGTTTTCTGTTTTTCTAATTACGGAAGCAAAGCCTGCGGGGGCCGGCCGGGCGGCGGGATAATGAGATGGCGGCCGGTGAAACGACGGGTTCGCTCAGGCGTTAATCAGCGAGGCCTCGGCGGTGAGCGGACACTTTCATTCACAACAGCTTCTACTACCGGAGAGAGAGAAGTATTGAGCCAACACACATTTGACTTTGCATTACAGCTGCTGTCATCTTACACACTGTGTAATTAGGTTTCCCGCAGAATAACGTTCAGCTGTGCTGTCGTATGTTGTGGTGCGACAGCCTTTCACCCGGCTACATTAGAACATGTGAGCGTATTCAACTCAGAGCAGATTTAGGCAAAAGAATTAAGTGACTTCTCCACTACATTACTGAGGGAAATATAACACTTTGTGCACCACTTCATTCATCTGAAAGCTGGGTTCTTTATCTAATATGCATTTTAGACATTATAAAACAACTACATTTAAAGTTTTTTAAGATCAACATGAGAGGTAAAAATGCCCAACACTGAGATGTGACAAATATTCCTTATTTTAATACAAACCACGATATTTTCCTCAACCTAACCAAGTCCTTTTTTCTTGCTTAAGTAAACCTAAAAACTAAGTAAATACACTTTATGCATGTAACGAGGGCAAACTGTGCATTTCCTGTGAAGACGGAACTTTATTTTGAAAAGACAATTTAGTCATGTAACAAGTGCAAACTGTGCTTTTCCTGTGAAGACGGAACTTTATTTTGAAAAGACACTTTATTCATGTAACAAGTGCAAACTGTGCTTTTCCTGTGAAGAYGGAACTTTATTTTGAAAAGACACTTTAATCATGTAACAAGTGCAAACTGTGCTTTTCCTGTGAAGACGGAACTTTATTTTGAAAAGACACTTTATTCATGTAACAAGGGCAAACTGTGCTTTTCCTGTGAAGACGGAACTTTATTTTGAAAAGACACTTTAGTCATGTAACAAGTGCAAACTGCGTTTCCTGTGAAGACGGAAATTTATTTTGAAAAGACACTTTGAAACTGATGCATCCAAAAGTGACACTAGAAAGGAGTGAGAAGGTGTTGATTGTGTTAGATATGACCAATTGTAAATACATTTGCTTCTTCATCCTCACTGGTACCTTTAGGTAACTTAGACTAATCTAATGATCTCAAAGTATTCAGAAGAAAAGTATGGCGTCAGAAAAAGACCATCTAATCGTTTCAAAACAAGAGCCTTGTCTGCAGCTTTGTAATGAAATGCTTCACGTTCAGTGTGCTTGATAATGGAATTACTGCTCTGACAGCAAGCAGCGCTGGTGAAGAACAACCTCATCTGGCTTCAGTGCTCTGTCGCCATTAGTTCATGATGTAAAAGCTCTGTGGCTCGGCTCGTAAAGAAACAGAAATCAACGTCAGAATACATATGAAAGAGTCAAAATAAGCTGCTGAACTAAATACATTATCTTGTATTTCTTGCGGTTAAATGCACAATAACACAGTTAGAGAGAAGAGTCGTCTTCCCAGTGAGCTTACACTCTTACTGTAATGATCTCGGTTGTTTAGTGGGTGACTGTGAGCACACCGTACATCACACTCACATTCAACAAGCACTGATTGAGAGCTTCAATCAGATTGTTGTAATGAAAGAGGCAGAGGAGAAGAATAACAGTCTCCCCCATCTTTCTGCTCTTCTTCACAACACAATAAAACCACTAGCATGTCTCCTCTGAAAGAAGCAGTCGCTAATGATTTTACAGCCTGCGTGCATCCTCTCAAAGGTAGATGATGCTGCTTTGAGTTTTTCATCTACAAAGGATTGAAATGCATCGTTCTTGCTCCCGAATCTGAATGATGAGGCTGCCTCGATATATTCCAGTGTTGAGTACGGTGACAGACTTAAAGAAGTCTCTTTCATGTGCTCTCCTTTCACTAATGCGTCTCACACAAACAGTGTTACACGCCCCGCGCTGTGAGCCGTCCTTGTCTCTGCTTCGCCAAACAACTGGTAGAGTTGACCTCGCTGAAAATCAATATGCCACTGGGTGACTTTTATGGGGCTACAAAGGACCCTCAATTACGGGCCGTCTCTCCTCCGTCTCTGGCCGACGCCGAGCCGCTGAACTGCATGATCAAAGGTTGCCATAGCGAGAGCATGAAAGCAACGTGGCGACACCACTTTCCATCAGGCTCTCGCTGCGTCTTTGTACAAACCTTGGCTGGTATAATGTGTCAGATGTGTAATGAAATGGATTGTTTCTGTTTTTGTGTCACTCAGGTCAGATATTACACAGCGATGAACACCTGAGAGGATGCTGTGGTATTATGGATATAATGCTTCTGCTGCGTATTAAAGGGTCGGTCTCTTTGGCCTTCTGTCGACACACAGCCTGCAAATGTTTACCCACGAGAGCTTCTTCTGCCTTATTTCCTTTATTTGTCTCACAACCCCTCAGATTTATTGTTCAACCCCTTTGGACAGAATTATCCCAAGATCCACATTGGGAGCTGCCGTCCTGGTTATTCATGTTATATTTCTGTACTTGAAGAGGGACGATGCAACAATAAAGTTAAACTAATGATAGAGAGCTGGTGTGATCTCACCTGCTGGCCGTGGTAAAACACAGCGAGGAGGAACATGGCCATCAGGAGCAGAGACGTCTCTTTGGTCCCCAGGAAGTTCCTGTTGGAACAGAAAGACAGAAGACGCTCAGCACTAACTTCACTAACGCAGCAAATCTGTGTATTTTGTGGTGCACGTTCTGCTGTTTGCTGTCCCTATGCTTTATGTGGTGAAACATTGTTGCTACTGAAGGCAACTACATGCCAAGAATTGGTTGCCGATATCTCAAAATGGTCGCCAATATCAACCTGGCAACCCTTTCTGTCACATCCTGACGCTGCTCTGCTCCTTCAGTGATGCAAAGTGCAGCCTGTTCATGTTACAACACTTCACTTCAATAATAATAATGAAGCACTTTGTAGCTCTAAATAACAGAACACGCCGGTAGTTTCATATTAATGCTACTTTACAACGGAAGAAATGAATTCACAGCATTGTTTTTTATATATTTCTGCACAAATAAATAAATATTACAAAAGTCTAAAAGTCTGAAAGTCTGGAACTTTTTGCCGTGGAGATGACACCGAGCCGTTGTTCCCTCTTCTCATCTTGACCTTCTCTCTGGTCCCAGAGGGCCATAAATAAGTGAACTGCCTCCCGTCAGCTCCCTATGGAGCTCGTATGGAGACCTCTGCTTCTTCTTTACAGCTCTTTCACGCTGCTGTGCTCAGGAAGCCTTCACTGTAAAGGTCACCGTGCTCTCACCGTGAACACACGCCAGATGAGTTCTCTCACATTTGCAACACTGTCCAGAAAAAAAGTTCAACGTGACGGGCTTTACTTTAATACGTGTATTACTCTGCAAGCTGTAAGAAGTTAGTTTCATCTATTCGACTACATTTCCCGTTTTGTATCGATACATATTCAGGTTAATGCAGTACATTTGATATTTTTTACATTTGTACATCTTTATCTCTCTATCTCTCTTTCTCAGTGCATCTTTTGTATTTTTTTTGAATGCAAGTTGTTTTAAAACATAAAAGTTATTATTATGACATTATTAAAACGTACGCAGCTGATTCTATGAAGTCTGATCAGATCATTAACTGAACGTGGGTGAACTGTCTGGTGGAGGGATGGACTTCTGAGAGTCTGATTGTTGTTCCACAAAGTTTCATGACGAGTTTCTGAGAAACGACTGGAGCTTAACTACAGCTTCATTTATCAGGCTGACACTGAAAAGCTCCAACTAAACTTACTGAACTAGCTACAGAGTATCTCTCCACTCTGTTACATATTCCATTCGTGCAGAATGGAGGGAACCTTGGTTCTCTGATTGGGATCCAAGGTTACAATATAACCAGGCGCTACATGGCCAACGCACATCCTAGCAAACTACGCAGACACCCAACCAAACGTTACGCTCGCGTGTGATTCGTTAAATGGTCCTCATTCTAAAGCTCTCACCCTGTGTTGTGGTGGAAGGTGTCGTAGCGGACGAACAGGGAGGTGTAGAAAGCCTCGGTCAGCAGTGAGTAGATGGCGATCATCACCAGCAGCACCGCCAACTTCAACACCGAGTTGAGACGCAGGAACACGGCACATGTCACCATCGCCAGGACCCCCGTGAACACGAAATACTGGGGAGACAAAGACATTCGTCTTTTAGTGCAGTCCTCCACGTTACATGTGACACGGTCCGGACATTCAAGTTCCCCTCAGAGATGAACCCTTAGCTGGTCCTCCAGCGCCTTCATCGGGTCAACATATTCATCGGTCATCGTTTTTGCTGACCTCTATATTTTCCGTTGTGTTTACATAAAAACGTCAGCAGCAGAAATAAACAGCAGGGTTTCCCGACCATTAGAGGCTTCACACCTCAGCCCGATGAACAGAACAAAGGTGTGCTGAGACAGTGAAGCTGTGAAGTGAAGGTAACATGAAGTTCAGAAGAATTAGTCCAAACGGACTTGGTTTCACTCCACAGCTTCAGTTGGGAACATTTTGGGTTCATAACGACTGAGAGTGAAGCGTTGTTGTTACTTATATCTAACTTGAAGTTAATATGTTGTGACTTCATACTTATTGTGTATTGCCTGTTAAAGAATGGACTCTTTATACGCCTGTACCAAATGTTTAACATCTATTTAAGTGTAAAAGTTCTTCACAAGGCCTGAGAGTGCATTGTATTTATCGTGTGGTTTTATTTTATTTATTGAGGATATTTTAGTATTTTTTTCATGTTCCAATGTCAGAATATGCGTAAGAATTAAAAGTTCATAGCTCTTTGAAAATATGTACCTGCATTAGTATGCTATTATATTACCCTGACATCAGAGGCATCAAATGGTCTTAAAATGACAATAACATTGTTTATCTTATTAATCAATACAGAAGCAGCAGATGTAGAGACTTCCTGACTTTAGTCTCTAGTGAGTTCATACATTTCCCATAATGCAACAGCTGAGGTCACTGTAATGACATCACCATGACATCACCGGTGGTTTTCATTTCTCCTCCCGAGCCTCAGAGGACATTAAAGATGTTGTAGATTTGACTTTTAAACGATGTGTAAAACATTACAATGATTATTCTTTGATGTTTCTGGAAGCTGCTCTTAGTTATTCACACACAGGCGCTCCGGACCCTCGGCTGGAAGTGAGGTTGTGACGTGAACACGAAGCGAGGAGTCGTGACTCTCCCAAAGCTCGCAGCTATGAAAGCGCGACTCCCTTATTGAGTCCATCAATCAGCTGCTTATTGTGAGAGCACAGTAACGTAATGGATGTTTTCCCCGCGACGTTCTGATGGCTCCATCAGTCGGCGTTGTCTGAAGCGAGACCTCCCTCCGGGTGCCAGCAGATGTCGTGGGGGGTTTAATTCTTCATGTTTGCCGCTGAAGTGAAAACTAAAAAACTAAAAAGCGAAACAGAAACACAACAGATGGACCCGCTGCAGAATTCAGACACATGATGTAGTCGGTACCTCTGGGTAGAAGCAGATGTCTGGGATGGAGGCCGACTCGTTGTACGTCTGGTTCCTGAAGGTGTCGAACTTGCCGAAGTCGCACCACAGCTGTGAGAGAGGGGGGGGGGGGGGGGTAATAACCGATTAATAACCTGTTAATCAGCTGGTTTGTTACTGAAGTCGGTTTCCAGTTCACTGTGGAAGCACTTCACAAACAAAGTCTTTTCAATTTGGCTTGTTTGAAAAAATGATTAAAAGAACCCGAGTTAAGCATCAACATTAAAACAACATTGACATGGTATTTATGCTTTTATTGTTATAATTTCTTGTCATTTTAAATGTAAAATGTTTTTTTTCATGTTGGCATTTTCTTATTTACACTTATAATGTAAATGCAAAATACAAGTTTTCTTCCCACTTTTATTTAATTTATCTGTAAAATGAAGGTTTTCTGTTTCTGTTTTTAAATGTTACTTTGAGCAACATAGTCTGTATGAAATGTGCTATAAACATACAACTATTATTATTATTATTTAGCTGAAAGATGTAAAGCACACAATTATTTACTTTAAAGGTTTACATTTCTAAACTTTTGTCTTCTTCTCTGAACTGTAACAGAGCAGCGTTTAGTGCTTCTACCTTTAATTCAGCGGCTTCACTGAGAGCAGCAACATGCATCTACAGAGCAGATCTAACTGTTCAGATCCGATGTATGTTCGCTGACAACATATGTGATTTTATTTGACGACGTCTTCATGCACGTACTGATGCTGAACATCAATATCTCAGGATGTAAATGGATTATTGAACAGATCCGTTGTAAGAGCAACGAACCACACAGTGTGTGTTTCTCCTTCTTCAGTTCATTTACACAAACGAACCTCTCAAGGCTCTGTAGCTTCTGGAGGATCAGTGGGCTCTTCTCTGCTTCTCTGAGACTAACTGGTGTCGAGGCCTCGGGGTTATATAACCTGCTTCATGCAGTCAGAGACCCTGCAACACCAGCAGCTAATCATCAGCTCGTTTCACCTTCTTTAGCTCAGTAATGACTCGTGAGTTAGACTCTTTCAGAGGTCGCTCTGCAGAAGAAGAAGAGCGCTGTGAGGTAGAAACGGGTCCATGAGCTTGACTTTCAGACAGTAAAAATATTAATAATAAATCTAGTGATTTATTGTTGCCACAACAACACTGACCAGCTGATCACATGATCCTCATTATATTGAAATTCAAACATGAGGAAATGCAATGGGTTTGGTGAGATTTGAGCCGTTCTGTGATTGTTATACTGTGAGGATGGTTTGGATATTTGTGCATTAATCCTCATACTGCTTGGCTGGTGAGATTTTGTGTTTAAAAACTAATCTTTCAGGATAAGCCTGGAGATGATTTGAAAGATATATTCTTTGATTCTTTGGATTTGAACTCTGTAGCACAGTTGCTCTGCTCTTATTCTTTTGCTCTTATGGTCCGACGCTGTGTTCACACCGAGCCCAAAGCAAACGTTTGTGTCACGTTACTCGTGAGATGATTTCTGTTTATTCTCGTCCTTCGCGCTAGAAGTGCCGAAGAGGCGCGGAGGCTGCCCTCACGGAGACAAGGTTCCATCAATCACGGCTGAAATAACCACTATTCCTGCTTTATACATGTTGATATACCAGATGTCCTGATCGCTGTGGTGTCTGAGTTCATAGCTTCATCCAGAGGTGCTCGCTGACTTATCATTGAGCTGCTTTACTGCAGCTGTATGAACCCAACATAAACTATGTTGCTGTGATTTAATTACAATAAACGGAACAAGTTGTTGCCAAAATAACTACATAATGATGCTGATTTGTAAAAAATTTGAATTCGTGTTTTGTTAGTTCTCTCATCAAGACGACAAACGAACAACTTTAAAGATGCTTGTTTTCTGAGTGGAGTCTGGATCGATCAGTGCTATGCTATGCTATGCTAACAGTGATTTTATTTATTATGTAGTATAAGTATATGTAGTAGTATTATTGTGTTGTCTGACTGTGGTGCTGTAATGTCTTTGCTATATTTGATTGTACAGAACTTTGTTCTTTTTAAACGTGCTCTATGAAAACATTTGCAGTGAACCAGCAGTGAGAGTGAGTGTGTGTGTGTGTGTGTGTGTGTGTGTGTGTGTGTGTGTCAGAGCCTCATTTATCATCTTCCTCTTTGCCATCGGGCTCCATTTAAAACACGTCAATGAGCCACACTGTTCACCGGCTGACATGTTCCTTTATCACCATGAACACACACTAGTTTATTTACACTCAACCCCACATTCAGACTGAGTGAGAGAGGAAGCCTTCACCCACCAGGGCTTTGATAAAGAAATGAAGACTATTCATACCGGCAGCAACACAAATACACAACAGTTGTAACTCTTGTTCAATATAAACAGATTCTCAAAGGCAGAAGACCAACCACCAGGATGCTATCCACACAGCGACTGTAAGATGTGTTATTGAGTTTCCTTTAAGTGAAGTTGAGTTCTCTCTGGTAAACAGCTACACAGTGTATACGTCAAGGACCTTTATTGTGAAAGGTAAGAAACTTTGTCAAGGTTGAAAGAAGTAATAAAGTTTGCTGTCTTGTCCCAGACCTCCAGGTCTGAAGAGTGAAGTCAAAGCTTCACGTGTTAAAGCTGCATTCTCTCTAGTGTCCACCAGGGGGCGACTCCTCTGGTTGTATAGAAGTCTATGAGAAAATGACTCTACTTCTCTCTTGATTTATTCCCTCAGTAAACATTGTAAACATGAGTTTATGGTCTCAATCTCTAGTTTCAAGTCTTCTTCACTACACTGCGTCCACTTCTGATATACAGTCTCTGTTCAGCCCTTAAAGCTTCTGTGTTGTCGTTTTAAAACAACTCATAACACTCGGCTACACTAGTCTTTTTTTTTGTGACGTAATATTCACGGTAAAAATGACCCGAACATCAGGAGCATAAACTCTCAGGATCCTCAGAAGGAAACGTTTCTCGGGAGACATTTGGAAACCAGAAACAAGTCGAAGTCTGAGTTTGTTGTGTCCTCGCGGGTCAGACGAACATCAACTCCTGTAAATATTTAGCAAGCAAACAAGAACCTGGAAGAGGAGACTGAACTCACGATATTGATCATGGCTGCCAGGAAGTTGATGAGGATGGAGATGAAGATGATGACGTTTCTCGCCGCGTAGGTCTCGTTGATCCAGCAGCAGGCTTTGCGTAGGACCAGAGGCAGACACTTGTAGTCCTCCGCCGTCGTGACGAGGACCAGACAGGAATGCAGGACGATGAGGACTGAGAACTGGACCGCCATCGTTACCATCCTGCAGAGACACAACGGCAAAACAACAACAGAACCGTCAGCTGGGTGACTTCAGGACACAACGTCCCATCACAATAAAAGCATTTAGATGCAAATCAGCATGAGAATAAAAAAATTTAAACATGTTTTAATATATTTTTATTTTATAATCGCATGATAACTCGATCAATCAACTAGATCCCACAAGAAAACCTCATCTGTAGATATTAGATTCAGATGTTACATAATGTTTCTATCGTCAGTGAATATTGAAAGGCTGTTTTTCCTCAAAGATGTGTGTGTATCCACCATAATAACATTTTCACACCTTCCACCAAAGATGATCTGAATCTCTTAAATGGCACAATATACATACATATATATTTATTATATGCATATAAGACCATGATGGCAGTGGAGTAAAAAACCTGCTCTGGGTGGCGCCAAACTAAAGCAAAGCAGTTTGTGCATGAACAACGATGGAGACAAACAAAACACACACGTGGTCAGTGTGTTGCTAACTAGCTACAGCTAACGTCTGTACAGTGGGTTCATAAGTTATTTAGGGGAAGAAAATCAAGATTGTCATTATTTGAGCAGAAGTGCTAAACTTGTTTTTGCATAGAGAACAGATGCTCACCTGGAGGCGAGGTGGGACTTTGTTTATTTTTTATATGTGAAAATATCTAATTATTTTATTTCAGTTTAACATGCTTCCTCCTGTCAGTGCACCGGTGTACGCTTGTGTTTTATAAACCTCTAACATCTGTTGTTGCTGTATTCCTTAGCGTGTCCAAATGCTCTTCATGCGTTTGCATGAATCGGTAAATAAAGGAGAGGAAAACGTCTTTCAGTCTCTCAGCTGCAACTGTCCCCCGTGTTGACAGTCCGTCCTCTCCTTTTACCTGGCAGAGGGAAGCAGGCTTTGGATGGTTGTGATGAAGATGAGCACGATGAAGGCGCACACCAGGTTGGACTTGAAGACCTCGTCCCTCATCTGGGAGTACTGCAGGAGGAGAAGAAGAAGAAGAAGAAGAAGAAGAAGAAGAAGAAGAGGAGGTAAGGGGGAAAATGGAGGAAAAAAACAAGTTTTCAGACAAACGGAGAAACACAGAAAACACGCCAACGCACCGCCACGGATACATTCACCGGTTCAACCACAAGCGCTAGAGAGAGACAGGAGCCGGGGTTCTGGGGAAGGTGCACAGCCGATTTAGTTCCACAAGCTTTTGTAGCGCTAGCAACAGCTGTACTGAGATACAAGGAGCTGATGTGTTGGAATGGGGGCATTAACATCTCCTGAATAGAGCCCATGCGCTGCTGTAAGACTCTAGACGGATGAGTCACCAGTCTGGACCGACTGCCTGACTCATCTCAATCTTAAGCCCCCCCCATGACCCGCTGCCCCGAACCTCGCTCTGTCTCTTTCTCAAAGGATGCTGGGAAATGAGCAAGAGGAGGCTTCACGTTTGGTCACAACAAGAAACCGAGGAACCGAGGGAGGCCGACAGCAAATCACTGCACATGTACAGAAGAGAGCAAACCAAAAGATAGTAATACGGTTCCTGGGAAGGTTTAGAAGATGGAGGTGGGATTCAAGAGGAGAACATAGATGTGGAGGGGGGGGGTTAAAGGTTAAAGGTGAGCTTATTTCATGGAACCCCCCCAAAAAAATAAGTAAGAAAGAGGATCACAAGCTACAGAGTGCGTTGCATTCACCAAAGACAACAAGCGCTCAGACACATGTTCTTGGAATGTCTTCAACATATCACGATTACTCTCATGATTAAGAGATAATATTCAACATTAAACGCTGCAGAAGGCTGGAATGTGTTGCTGTGGAAACAACTGGTTTACCTGGTGTCAGCTGTTCACAGAACTTGCAGCTTTAAATAAACACATTTATAATTCATAGTGTTGTATGTAACTCTACCATCAAACCAAAGAGGGAACAGAGCAGAATAAGCGCTTAAAAATACAGTTTTCATGTTTTATTTCCTTTCAAATAGCTTAATTTATCTAATTCCCATTCCCATCATATATATATATATATATATATATATATATATATATACTGTGTGTAAGGAATATAGATCAGGTTTAATTGAAGTAGAAGTCAAAATATATCAATGTAATTTAACAGTACACACTGTACAGCTAGAGTTCATCAACTCTTTAACTCTTTTATTCTGTTTCTCACCTTCCTTTCTTTAATGAATAACTTAACTCAGCTGCAATAACAAAATAATGCAACATCACTAATGTGCTCTGGATTATTATAAAAACCATCTAAACGTCCAGTAGTCATCATTATTTGACATGTAGTTGTAAATGTCAGCGATGCTTTGTTTCTTTAGGGAATGCAACGCGCTCCTGTGAGAAGCAGCTTCTTCTTCTGTTGAAGGGGAACTCGTCCATGTGTGGACTTGTGGTCATGAGTAAACTGAAGGTTCTGTCATCACAGAGCAACACATGCTGATACTTTACATGTCAGTCAAACTGGATTTGTGTTGAATTTGGTTTAATGTTTGCAGTAATTCAACAAAAAATGAGTATCTTAGATTAATGTATTATTATAAAATATATATATATATACATATGTATTATATTATTATTTATTCGTGCACACAAGTATGGAGTCTGAAATGTGGCGACTGAATAATTATACTTCTACGACCTTTCAATAAATCAGTTCATGCTCTTTAAAAGCTACTATAACGTGAGTCTAGTGAACAACAGACTGACTTAAATCAACGGAGTTAAAACCATCGTCTGCAGGTGAGATGCAGCGTTACGCTCTGAGAGTCCGACTTTAAGCTGATTGAGCTAATGCTACATGAATAAAGTAAGTATTCATTTTCACAATAATGACTCAATTGATTTAGTCTTCAGATGAAAAGTGAAGAAGTAAATTGCAAAATCAATTAAAATAATTTAAATTAGACTTTCAGTAAATTACTAAAGAATACAAAATGGATTAAAGCAACAAATGAACTGAGATATGAAAGGTATAGACAGTAAATGAAATAACATGTATAAGATCTTCTTCTAGTTTATTTCTAGTCCATAGTTAATCTGGTGGCACACTTCAGACTCCATACGCTGGACTACTAACGTATACTGTGTCACATGACGTCTCAGTCACAACATGTTACTGTAACTCATGTAAATACAAACATGTAAAATTGGTTTAATTGCCGATAATAAATCAAGAACCTTTAGCTTACTCATGAAAGGAAAAAGAACAATTGTTGGTTCTTGTTTAGCTTCTGGAGATCTCAGAATAAGATCAGAGGAGAGAGAGAGAAAGGAACAGTGATGGAGAGAGAGAGAGAGAGAGAGAGAGAGAGAGAGAGAGAGAGAGAGAG